AGCATGGGAATAACACACACTGAATAGTGTTGCTAATCTATAGCTTCGAAAATCACGGTGGCAAACTGAATGAACTGAGCGCAGGGCATTAAACTGTAAGCGTGCCCATGTCAACCCTTGTTCTTCTATGCAAAGAAGAACACAGTAAAGGAAAAGGGGGAGGGAGGCAAGTGCCCCTTTAAATTTCCATTAATTTAGTTTTAAAATATCCCTGCTTGTACACCTATTTTTGGTTATAATCTTTTGCTTATAGATTCATCAAACACCTCTCCCTTAAGGAATTAAAAGAGTTTATTTAGTAAATAGGCACAATTTAAATATATTGAAATAAATCTCTGAATAGGTAAGGATGGTAAACGATAAAATATACAAGATGCTAGCTGGAGTAGGTGAGCAATATAAGCACAATCCACAGGATCCACAGGAAGGTTGGAGAGACAAATCGTGTCTAGATTTAAAGACATCGTCTTATGCTCAAGAACTAGGCTTAATAATAGGTGTCTGCTCCGTACGTGGAAACAGTTTGTTTCGATTCTCTCTGTATCACATGTCTACATTCCTGGGTACAAACAGTAGCGGCGTGACTCCAGATCCAACGTACGACTCTATTCAACCAAAGGTTTATTCAGTAAACAATCAGGGTTATTATTATGTTATTATTTATATAGCGCCAACAATTTCTGCAGCGCTTTACAGTGGGTGGACGAACAAACGTAGTTGTAATCAGACAAGTTGGACGCACAGGAACATAGGGGTTGAGGGACCTGCTCAATGAGCTTACATGCTAGAGGGAGTGGGGTAAAGGTAAGGATAGTATTAGACTAATGACAGTTGCAAGAGAGGAATCAGTCGGGAGCTATTAACAGTTTAACAGTGAACTGTCAGGAATTCACCCGAGAATTGCTATTTTAATAGTCCAGCGTAGCTAAGCTGGAAACATAGCCGACTCAGATCTTTTGCTATTTGGCTATTTTGGATTAAGAATGCAATCTCCTGACAATTCAGAGTTTAGCGGATAGCCCTGAGGGATTTATTAACCAGACACTGAATTGTGGTAAAATGTTAACCAAATTGCAATATTCTAAATAAGGACATTATGATAGAAAAAATGGGCAGAGGGATTTAGTCCCAAAAGAAGGGACTGTTCCTCCTAAATAGGAACGCTTGTCAAATATGGTATAACACCCCTCGCCAACCGCTGGGCAGTAGTGGTATAGGTGGGGGACCAGAGACAGACACCCCATTCCATTACATAAATGAACCTTCCTGCTCCAGGAATGAAGTATTAATGGGTGAACAAGCACGGGCTGCTTACCACAGGGATTGTTTGGGAGTCTTTGGGAGCAGGGCTGGATTAACATAGGGGCTGATGGAGCTGCAGCTCCAGGCCCAGGCCCATGGAATAGGCCCATTGATTTAAAAAAAAAAAAAATTTTTTTTTTACTCACTACTCTTAGGGTTGCCAGGTATGTCTCATGTATTTCTTATGGTTGCCAGGTATTTCTCAGAAGTATTTCTCAGGTATTTGAGGCTGCCTAGCCGGTGCTGGTATCGCAGTAGTAAACAGAGATTATTCTGCAATACCAGCGCCAGCCAGTAGGGGTCACTGTTTGTGTGGAGAGGCAGGAATAAGAAGTTACAGCATCTGCCTCTCTCTACTCACTGATCCGCGGGGGAGCAGCTCTGCACAGAGAGGTCAGACAGCAACTCCGAGCCTGCGAGACATGGGGACGGTGAGAAACTTGGGGACGCTGAGACATTGGGACACTGGGAGACATAGGGACACTGTGGAACCTGGGCACCCTGAGACACTAGGGACACAGTGGCCCCATGTCTCCCAGTGGCCCCTAGTCGCTCAGTGTCCCCATGTCTCCCAGCCAGAATCCCTAGTGTCTCAGTGTCTTCATGTCTCCCAATGTCCCTGGTGTCTCTCAGTGTCCCTAGTGTCTGTGTCCCTAGTCTCCCAGAGTCCCCTAGTCTTTCAGTGTCACCATGTATCTGTGTCCCCATGTCTCTCCCAGTGTCTCAGTGTCCCCATGTCTCACAGTGTCCCAATGTCTCTAAGTGTACCCTAGTGTCCTGGTGGCATTGGGACACTGGGAGACATGGGGACACAGATACATGGGGACACTGAGAGACTAGGGGACTCTGGGAGACACAGGGAGACATGGAAACACTGGGAGACTTTGAGACCTGGGAGACAAGGGGCACTCCCAGTATCCCCATGTCTCCCAGCCAGTGTCCCTAATATCTCAGTATCCCCATGTCTCCTAGTGTCCCTGGTGTCTCAGTGTCCGTAGTGTGCCAGTTTCCCTAGTGTCTCAGTGTTTCCTAGTCTCCCAAAGTTCCCTAGTCTCCTAGTATCTCAATGTTCCCTAGTATAAAAGAAAAAATCTCAGGCACTCACTGTGATAGATTTAAGCATGTTTATTGGACAACGCAACGTTTTGACTTGTACCTAGGTCTTTATCAAGTCTCCAGTGTCCCCTATGTATCACAGTGTCCCTTATGTATCAGGATGTCTCAGTGCCCCATCTCTCCTAGTGTCCCTGGTGTCTCTCAGTGTCTGTAGTGTCTCAGTGTCCTTAGTGTCTCAGTGTGCCTAGTCTCTCAGAATTCCTAGTCTCACAGTGTCCCCATTTCTCACAGTGCCCCCAAGTATCTCAGTGTCCCCTAGTATAAAAGAAAAAAATCTCAGGCACTCACTGTGATAGATTTAAGAAGGTTTATTGGACACCTGTACCCAGGTCTTTATCAAGTCTTGAGTGTCCCCTATATATCACAGTGTGCCCTATGTATCACATTGCCTCAGTGCCCTATGTCTCCCAGTGTCCCCTCGTATCTCAAAGTCACCCAGTGTCCACAGGTCTCCCAGTGTTCCCTAGTTTCTCAGTTTCCCCGGGTCTCTCAATGTCCCAATGTCTCTCAATGTCCCCCAGTGTCCCAGTGACATGGGGACATTGGGATACATGGGGACACAGACACTAAGGGACTGGGAGACAGAAATGCCCCCTTTTTGTGTATGTTCGTCCCTTTCGGCAGTTCTGGTTATGTGATTTGTGTCAGTGGCCCACCCTTTTACCCCATCCATAGACTTTCTGCTTTACTGGACACTGCTGTTATAGGGTATGGATTTACTTGAAAGGTGAAAGCGTGAGATAAACATAGGGTATGTGTTTTCTCATAGCTGCATCCTATGAGTTTCCCTACAGCACCATCTCCATCAGATACATGACGCTTGGGAGGTAGGACTGTTTTAGTGTGTTTGGTCAATAATATTCTGTAATTAGGCCCATCATAATTGTCAGCATCAGGCCCACTGGGCTCTTAATCTGGCCCTGTTTGGGAGCCAAAGTTCTAGTTACGGGATTCTTTAGCTGTGAAACTCTACAGGTGGCAAAAGGACAGCAGGATACTACTGTTTTTTTCTTTTACTTCAAGTAGCTGATTCTTACAGTAAATGATGATATAAAAAAGATCACTAGTGCAGTGCTCCTGATTCTACTATGGGGAAGGGCCCTCCTAGTGCAGTGCTGCTCATTCTACTATGGAGAATAGTGCTTCTCAGTGTACTATGGGGTTGGGGCTCTTTAATGCAGGGCTCCTCAGTCTGCTATGGGTAAGCCCCCAGGTAATTTTCAGGACAGGATGCTAGGCTGTGCTTTACTCCTATTCCATTTCTTTAGTTTTGTTTTTAATACCTGACAATGCAGAATGTTGTTGTTTCTATTTTATTTCATTAATATCCCAGCTCACATAGCTAATAAGTTCCGCATACCCCTAGGGTGGAGCCATACAGTGAGAGTCACCCTCCCTGCTTCCTATACCAAGGGAACAGGAATCATCTGCCTGTGAAACAACAAAACGTTCACAATTCTAGGCAACGTTATCGCTAATTGTCCCGTACCTTTATAGATAATATCCCCATCCTCCCTCATAACTGCTTAACCCAGGCAAAGATATTAAGCACCACTATGAATGATGTCGTAATGACACAGCGCATTTATGAGTGCAGTTCCATTAATGTGTCACTCAAACGTCTATTGACATCTTGAGAACAAAGAGACTGTTAGAGAGGCTGGGAGAGGCTTTTAGAAAGAGAACAGGATCTAGAAATGAGGTAGGAAAAGTTGGGACAGGTTGAGGAAAGATAGAGAGGATAGATGGGGTAAACAAAATTACAAGTGATATTATTACAATTTACTGCATAAAGTTACGGTGAAAATAGCCATATTTGTGTTTATGTTGTGACTCATTAGCAGTTACAAAAGGGAGCCTGCAAAATAGTAAAATGCCTAAAGGGAAAAGTTTTTTTTTTTTTAAATGACCCCATATTTTTAAAGCATAGATAATGCAATAAAAAAAAATAGTGAATAATAATACAATTTCAGAAAATAAATAAAGAATACCTAGTATCCTGGAGGTAAATAACTTAGAGACATCCCTTCCCTAACAGGAAGACCAATCAGGAGCCTTTTATTTTGGTTTGTATGTTTATGTTCTGATCTTATCATTAGTAATAGTTTATCGCCGGCAGCAATATAAAACTGCTCTGTAAACGGATTGCACTTTATACACAGCCCGATTCTCACACTTGATATACGCTGAAAAATTCCAACTAACTGACAGTTTTGCTAAAGGCTGTCTTAGAGTTGCAGCGAATCCGACAAATTGATGCAGTTTATAACAGTGATTCCCAAACTTTTTAAGTTTAAGGCGCCCTTAATATTTCAGTATTTTTCCAAGGCACCCCAAGTCAAAATTTCTAGGTTGTATATCTGTACAGCGCTGCGGCATTTACTGACGCTATAGTGTAATGCATAATGTAATGTGAAGGGGTGCTTCACACCATGACATGCACAAACATTGATATATGCCCACACCATGACACAGATACACACACTGACATAAAAACACACACCCTGACACACAGATTCACATACACAGATGTGTGTGCAGACACAGAAGCACACTAATATATATATATATATATATACACACACAGATTCACACCCTGACACACACACACACACTCAAACTCATACACACACTCACACACTCATAATACACATACACACACTCATACTCACACTCATAAACATACACTTATACTCACACACACTTAAACTCATACACACACTCATACACATACACACGCTCACACAAATACAAGTGATTTTTTAAATATCTCCAGCCACCCTCCTGTTAGCTTACTTTATGTGCCAGGAGGGTGGCTTGGAATCCTGCTGCTGGTGGGATTGAGGGGTCTGGAGCTCTTCGTGTTCCTCTCCCCTCATGCTGCGGCTGCCTCCTCTCCCTCCCACACTGTTTCCCTGCAGGATGCTGGGAGGAAGTGACAGGCTGTCACTTCTTCCCAGCCGGTCGACATTACAGGGGCCTGGTCCTTTAAGACCACGGCACCCGACTGGGCCCCTGTTCAGCAGTAATGTTTCCCCATTGCTATAATCATAGCACCGGGAAACATTCCGCTGCACCCCTGTGTGCACATCACGGTGCCCCAGGGCGCCGCTGCACACAGTTTGGGAACCTCTGGTTTATAAGGCACTCTGATCAGAGAGCGCGGATGTGGGGTATCATGTGGGGTACCATAAACTTTGCCATGATGCAAAGCTGATGTGTTGCTTAGTGTGATGCTGTAAATAAGATCTTGCACATGCGTCATGCACGCACAGTACTAAACAAACATTACAAAACACACACACTACCCTCCCATATTTGTGCATAAAACACCTGAAACACATTTATATTCATGAAACACAGTGTATTTATATTCATCATTCATATTACACACACAATACACGTCACACACAATATACATCTGCACTATACTTATTTTATAGAATTATATGTTATAGTAACCCACAATACATACATGTGCATCACACACAATAAAAAGAGCACATTATATCCACGGAATACAGATTTGTAGATGCATTACACACAAACACATACATGTACTCAGAAGAATTTGAAAGTGTAAGTAGGGAATGCATATACTTGGTTGGGCCTATAGTAATAATAAAGTCAAAGCAAAGCTAAGTTTACATATGTACACAGTAACCGTTTAACCCCCTAAGGACACATGACGGAAATATTCCGTCATGATTCCCTTTTATTCCTTAAGGGGTTAATACACACTGTATGCGATGATCTTTTTTAAAAAATTTTTACGTATGGCTACTAAGTTTCTATAAAAACGTAGAAATGTTTGCATGCAGTGGCAAGCTATGATATGCATTTATATGCCTCCAGTGTGGATTTTGTAGATGTGTGTTTCATAGATGTTGTTTTGTTCCCTAATATGGTGATATACATACACAATGTCCCGCTGCAGCAAATACAAGTCAAAGAAGCTGGGTTCCTCCGTCAGACGTACATCCCTAGGCCCCACCATCACAATCGTCAGATTTTCCCATGGCTGTCCTGCCGTTTTTTTCTATTTATAAATGAATTTATGAGACATTATCACAAAGCAGTCCACCGCATCTCCCGTTTGTTATTCAACGATTTTCTCGTGCAATTAAAGAGCTCTCTCCCTCTATGTGAATAGGTTTGTTGTCATCGCTAGCTCACTGAAGGGGGCCTCGGGGGATATCAAGTGTTATTCTGTGTACCCATGACATCTCGTGTCTACATCATCTGGCAGTTGTCCTTCCACACTTTCTCTTTTTTCGCGAGTCTCTTTCTGATATGGAAATCTGGAATTATCCAAAGCAAAGACGTATATTCCATGTCAAACTGCAAATACCAGGCACAGAAACTAATTAAACCAGGATAGAACATGGGTAGTTTATGTGTCAAAAATAATTGATTTTAAAATATGCAGTGCAATATGCATTGTTTGTCCACTGCCAAGCATTTTTCTTTTCTGGAGAACTTTGGTACACGCTGCTTATCTGTAATAATTACTACTTCGCAACAGGTAACCTGTAAGTGTTTATTGAAACATAGGTACCTGTAGACCTCTATCAGCATTTCTCCAACGCTGTAATATTCAAAACAAGAATATCACAGCCAAATGCTACAGTACAAAGTATAATTGAAAGCGTTTGCATCTGTGTGATCCTGTTCTGATTTAGAACAACGTGGGCCGTAATCATCCAGGCAAAACTGGAGTAGCTCTGGGTTAAAAGTGCTGAAGATGAAGCAGTTTCCATAGAAACCAGTGAAATAGTCCTACTAAATGTAGCACACTACCCCAGATTTGCTCCATTCTACCTTGATAAATATGACTCTCTATGCTTCCAGTCTGAGAAGTCAGGTAAGAAAAACCAAACATCTTACTTGTCAATCTGTTTATTCTATATCACAGCACATTCTGTACTGTGTTTGAATCTCCTTCATGGTCACCTACATTATAACATGTATATGTCAATGTGAATAGTACAGGGATTCTTAAAGGGACGTTTTCAATGTAGTGGTTATGGTGGAATACATTTTTGAATAAACCCTATTGTTATTTCTGAAGCTGTTTTTATGTGGTTAATTTAATAAAAAAAAATATGCTCTAATGGCACCCAGAGCCTGGCCCCTCGGTAGCCACAAAATAAATAAAGCAAAATGTATTGTTCTGCGTTATCTGCAGAAAGCCACCCAAATGTGCAGGACAATAATGGTCTGTAAACATTACGTTAATAACTCGGTAGGGGAAAAAAAAAGATTGGTGCTGGAAGGGTTAAGAGTCACTGGCATTCATCATATGTTTCCAAAAATTACCAACAGAGGGCAGCAGTGTCTGAATTCTGTCATGTGCAAGCTGTTCTGTCTGGGCTGGAACTAAAATAGGGTTGGGCTATTATAGAGGAACTTATTTAACACAACAGGGGGGATGCTTGGCAGTCCTTGTTAGGGTCCAATATGCGATACAGAAAACAGACAATGAAGAACAACATATACTTAGTGTGTAGGCCATAAATAAAAACATGAGACCTGTGAATGTCGTCACTTTTTTGCTCATTGATGGGCAAATAATTAGCCACAAATAGTTAGCAGTTCAGTAACTCCTAAGCAGGCAGAATGATTGCTTAAATGTATGATAATTCAGCACTGGTGCATGTTTCCTTAAATAAAAAACAAAAGTAATGATTTTTTTTGTGATTTTACCACAAGTGGCTGGGGTGGAAGAACGTTCTTGTTAGTTAGCTCTGGTGATGAAATCCTAATATTTAAATCCATTTATAACCATTCCAAAGAATGCTCCATTGTACACAACGTGCCAAACAGAACATGGAAATCATATTATCATGTCATAAATATCACTATTTCTATCCTATGATAGAACTTTTCTAAGAACTCAAATAAAGTAAGACAAAGTGAGGCAATGGTTAAATGGACTCTAAGCAGCAGCACCACGGTTTATTGTTGTGGTTCACCTTTAGAGTCTAAAAACATTAGTCTTTAAACTTTCCCATTTACATCAATAACCTGTCCTGAGAATCTTGGAATGGTCTCATGCACCCTGAAACATGACAGTTAACCTCGGGAACATGTTACACTGAGAATATTCCATATACATTAAGCATTTGGCTCTTTTCCACAAATAAAATTTCGATTTGCGATGGTCCGCTAATTTACACTTTGGAAGAAAATCATGGATTAGTTTGTATAACCGTCAAATGGCTGGTCTTACCAGTACACCCCTCATCATTGTTTTCTCACGTGATGTGAGTAAATATTTTATCTGGACTTGTAATGTGAAATATAGACAGTCAGACAGACATACAAAGACACACACACGTCTATATATGTGAAGGCTTGGCCTGCAGTTGTGGGAGGGGCATGGTTCCCTATTTAAACGCACTACTCACCTTCCTCTGTCTTGTTCGTACCTTAGCGATTTGCTCTCTTACCTGGTCCTGCTGTTCCCCCGCTGTTCTACTCATTTACGGTCGTTCTGGGCTCTGATCCGGCTCTCCTGTCGTCCCTGGCACTCCAAACCTTGGCTATCCGAACCAGACATCTCTTCTGAATCATAAGATACTTACCTTGCCGTCGCGCAGCGGTCGCAGCCCCACAGTGTCATCATGGTTTGGGTCTATTCTCCACACCCTCGTGGCTTGTTTTCCTTGCTGGTTTTATTTTTGTGTGCTCTCCCTCAAGACATATGGGTTTTGAACGCAGGTCCGCTTTTTCATTTATGTTCTGGTTCTAGGTCCAGTTTGATACCAAGGTTCTTCAGCCCTATCACTAAGTCTGACCTGTTTTCGTACACTGCATAGCTGGGCCACGTTTGACTGCCATACTCCTCGTACTACAGTATTTTCAGAAAGGTACATTATGTGTTTTGTTACTGGATCTACGATCTAGCCCATATGAGCCCCGTGGGCTATACACCAACATGATTTCTATTACCTATTTCCAGGCACACATCATACGACCTGACCGCCTGGACTCTGACGTGCTTACTCCGCACTCCAGATGCCGTCTGCCTTACGATCCTCCCTTGTTCACCCCCACTTTCGTTACACGTTCCACAGGTATGTTCTTTATCTCACTCAGGGCTGCCATCAGAAATTTTGGGGCCCCTGACACAGCTCAAGGTCTGGGCCCCCCGGTGCCTGCACCCGAGTCCCGAGTCCGCCCACAGGGATGCAGTGTCTGCAGGGCCGGTGCAGGATTTTTTGCCGCCCTAGGCAAAAGTAAAGTTTGCCGCCCCCCATGTGACATCACAATACCCCACCCATATGATCTGCCATGTTAACTAACACAGTGCTGCAGTGCGCCGTGTTTACAATAAAAGGCCTGCAGGGACAGGCTATAGACACCAGAACCACTACATTAAGCTGCAGTGGTTCTGGGGACTATAGTGTCCCTTTAATGTGAGGTAAATTAGAGATTAGTGCCATGAATAATATACTAGATTGCCTACTTACAACCAGATGAGGATGATGATGGGCTCTAGCTGCCGTCTGGCTCCACTGGTCTGGTGTAGAACAGGCTCTCTGGAGGCGGTTTGTAACTATGGTCACAAAAATCAATGTTCTGGGAGAACGGGAAGCAGCACGATTTTTTTGAGGGCCCTTTACACGGCTCAATGTCTGTGTCCCAGGGTCCACCTTTATGTTCCACCAATGAGTTTGTTCACAGGGGTGTGTGTGTGTGTGGGTGGATGTCCTGATGTGTGTAAGGAATGCATTGTGTGAATCTATGTTTGTATGTGTAAGGGCTGCAAGGTGAGTTTGTGTATGTATGGG